TTGCAGCTCCGAAATAGAGGTGTTGCTAAGACCTCCTAATCCAGAGCCTCACGTGCTTCTTTTATTATTTTTTTTTTTATTTTTTTTCTTCTTCAAACAAGCCTTCTCGCATAAACTAAAGGCTAGACAATACCTCTGTTCTCAGCAGCGAGACAAGCAGAGGTGATTTCTCCGGCTCTAATAGCCGGTTTACTTGCGTACAAATTTCACCGGAGGTGTCGTGTCGCCCGATGGGACGTCCTGGAAAATTTGCATAGAGCTGCTTTTCGAGGAATGGGCCACTTCGATCACCTTTCGAACGAGCTATTGTTGAAACGTTACAACATCGTGGACAGCAGATGCTCGTACGAGGAAACGTACATGTACACTCTTTAATTGCGGCTTCGACCGTTCCCTTGACGCCTTCTTGAAATTTCAAAAAGGAGAAATTAGGAATTGGATAATTCCTTTTTATTCCACGACCTGCAATCTTTCCACAAGCCTTTGTTTAAATAAAAATTGGAAAGGAAACGATTATATTTTCATGAAGGATATATCTTCTATTGTTTTTGCAATTTTGGGAAATCGAGGTAGGCCAGTTAATAATAGAGAAGACAATGTAGTATATATTTGTGCATTTTTAAGTTTACATTGAGATTACTTGGGATTTAGATTAGGAATGTTTAGTTTTTGGAAAATAAAGCAGGTTACTTAATGAAGAAAGATAATCTGATACTCGACTTGTACATGAATTATGATAGTTAGTAAACAATTTCTTTCAATAGGAACGACGTATTGTTTCAGGTTTAGATTTTAAAGCTATGTAAATAATAGTGTATATACAATTATCTTTCTAGAATCGTTATTATGAATGATACAAAACGATATAAAAAAATATAGAAAAATATAAGAAATAAAGCGATGCTTAAATTTGCAAAAAGATATCAAAAGAGATTCAATCATAAAATGTTTATTACAACTATAGAGGGATGAACATTTCATTCAAATGAATACTTTTTACAATAAAAAATATTTGATACGACTTATGAATACTTTTTCATGCAAAGATATAAAGAAACGAGACCTATAAAACCTATTACATTTTAAAAAGACATATCCAATACCTACAACAATCAATTCTAAACAACCAAACCGACACTTCTTCAAAGTAGACCCATTCTAATCCTAAAACAACATCCAACTCAACTCTTTTGCCTCAAATCAATCCCTCCTACGTTCAACATTCAGGAATCATAGTCCAGTTTATTGGCAAACTTCATTACAACATCTCGATCGTGGTCATTTCGTTGAGCAAACAGGGGCCCCAACGGAGCTGCCAATTTTCAGCGACAAAAGGGCACGGACCACGGGCCCATCGAAGGGGCCCAGGCGCCGATATCGGGAGCCGAACACGCCCGAAGAGGTAGACGAAGACTGCCGAGGAGGATGGTGGGAACGCATGGCGCGCTGTGTTCTCACCAGCTCGCTTTCTCTCTCT